CCAGCATCATTTGGGGAACATACTTGCTTGTCAGCCAGTACCTACTCTGGGCATTGTTGAAATACTGTTTCTGGGCCAGTCAGAAAATAGCTCTCAAAAAATTCAAGTGACTGCAGTGTGTCTGCTCTGTTCACATTTTCATGTATTTTCCTATGTGATATTTTCATTCAGTTTCTAATAACTGCTTGAACTCCACCTTTTATTGTTTCCTTTGAAACTTGGGATTCCAGGATTATCTTCTATGTTGTAGTCTTTGTTGAAGGTCTCGGCTGTTGTTGCCTGCCTCATTTAAAATAGCTTTAGTATTTTTCCTTAGAATAATCTAGGAAAATTTTTTACAATCTGCAGTCATAATTTTATGTTCGAGTAGATATTAACTAAATAAATAACAAGTTATTTGTTGTTGTTAAGTGCCGTTGAGTCGCAGGCAACTCATAGTGACTCTATAAAGGAGCGTCCTGGACGCTTGGGTGCCTTTTGTCCTCTCTCTGGTTCATAGGGTTTCCGGAGGCATGCTTTTATGGAAGTGGATGCCACTCCTCCTTCCAAAACAAGTTATTCACTAGCCTTTTTTTTATCCGCAGAAAATGAACACTACGAGAATGAAGTTACAAATTGCAAAACTAAATTAATACCCTCCTTATAGTTCTTTGACAAAAATTGCTGGAATTTTAGCTGAGAGATCATTTTTTTTTAATATTGGGTTAATATTTTGGGGTGGGTGGTTTTTTTTTTTGTTTTGTTTTGTTAATGTTTTCCCCAACTTCAAAACTGTGACAGAAGTCTGTGTTAATGACTAAACCATTCTTACTTTGGTAAAAGCATACATAGCAAAACATATATAAGAATAAGGCACTTTGTTTTGCATTGTTTTCCTTTAAGTAAAATTTTACTTTTTATATTTTGGATAAGTGGATATAGTTTTTAAGCTTTCTGAGAAAATGGATTTATAGTGGAATCTACATTTAAAATTGCCAGTTATCAAACACCTTGGAAATAACTTAAGCATGCTCCTCTTAATCATGTAAAATTCTTTTTTTTAAATTTTTTTTTTTATTTCCATTAATTCACTGTTGCACTTTTCTCCCCTCCTAACACACACACACACACACACACACCCAGTATACTACCCTCTTGGAAAAGTAAAAGAATCATTGTTTTACAATCCTTTCCCCCAGGTCCACTCCACTATGCAGCCTTCGCTCTGGACTCGTCATGACAAAAATACCTAGTCACATATTTCTCCATCATCTGTTTCAATGCAGTTTACATTATTGAACCCATCTTTCTCAATCTCTCCCCCAACCCCAAGGTCAGTCCTATTTTACAACAGTGTCACCATGCAGTATTTGTCCTTTTGTGACTGAGATACTTCACTCAGCATAATGTCTTCCAGAGTCACCCATTTTGAATAATATTGCTTGAGTTCCTTGTTTTTCAATGCAGCGTAGTATTCCATTGTGTGAATGAATATACTGCAGCTTCTCCATCCATTCATTTGTTGATGGACACTTAGGTGGTTTCTAACTCCTTGGCTATTGTGAACAAAGCCGCGATAAACATGGGTGTGCTGTGACTGGAGCGGTGGGAATAACTGCATTTGAGATGGCTAGGTTGGCACAGGATAGAACAGCATTTAGAGCTCTTGTACATAGGGTCGCTATGAGTCGCAAGCAACTCGGTGGCACATAACAACAACAACCATCTTAGTCAGTTCCCACTCATAGTTTGTTGTCTGCAGCAGAATGAAATACTGGCTGATCTTTCATAAAGAAGTCATGGTTTGGTTTAACTCATTATGTTAGTCCTTGTCAAAAGAGCAAAGACCACGTGGGGACAACTATATCTGATTTTCAGCTTCACAAAGTTAACTGTCCTTGTCCACAACATCAATAGCACACCATCAGTTCTGTGAGGTGAAACATGTCCCCAACACTCCTGTATCTCTCTACTTACCTCAATACCAGATTTTTTTAAAATAATTTTACTTCTTTTAATTGTGATTTTAACCAAAGTTTACAGAAAAGTTAGATTTTCATTCATTTATTCTTGCATATTTTACACCCTCTCCCTCCCTTCTCCCTTCCTTGGTTCTCTTTAAATGACAAATTTGTTTATTGTGGCACAATTACCTCCCGCCCAGTTCTCTTTGCAATGTACTTTTTATTCTGGGCGTATGTATAATGCCTAATCATATATTCCTTTTAGTTATTTCTTTCATCTGTTCCGATGCAGTGTTCATTATCTATCCACTCTTAGCTCTCTTCTCCTCTTAACCTCCTGTGTCAACCTGCTTTATAACAGTGGTGCTATGTAGTAGTGTCCTTTTGTGACTGAGCTATTTCGCTCAGCATAATGTCCTCTAGGGTTACCTGTGTTGTATATTGTTTTATGAGTTCATTGTGTGTGGGGTTTTTTCAGTGCTGCATAGTATTCCATTGTATAAATATACCATGGTTTTTCTATCCATTCATTTGTTGATGAGCATTTGGGGTTGCTTCCATCTCTATGCTATTGTAAATAACACAGCAGTAAACATGGATGCTGTCTGTCTGTTTGGATGGCAGTTCTGGTTTCTTTAGGGTGTATTCTCAATAGTGGCATTGCTGAGTCAGATGATAATTCTTTTCCCCACTTTTTGAGAAATGCCAAGCTGCCTTCCATAGTGGTTGCACCCTTTGAAACTCTTACCCAGCAGTATAAAGGGTACTCATCTCTCCACAACCTCACCAGCATATATTGTTTGCTGCTCTGTTTGAACTTTGCTATTGTTGCTGGGGCATGACGATGTCTCATAGTTGTTTTGATTTGCATCTTTCTGGTAGCTGTGGATTTTGCATATATTTCTCCATGAGTTTATTTGCCATCTGAATGTTGTTTTTGGTGAAGTATCTGTCTATTCACATCCTGTGCCCATTTTGCTATTGGATTCTTTACCTTTTTCTCATTGAGGTGCTGGCATAGTCTGTAAACTATAGATATGAGTCCCTAATCAGATATGTCCTTACTAAATATTTTTCCCAGTCTATCGCTCTCCTTTTTACCCTGTTGGAGAAGCTTTCGATGTGCATAGGGATTTGATTCTTAGAAGCTTGGAAGACTGTTCATACCGTCAATTAGGGCTTCTAGAGTTCTCCCAAGTTTTTTTGTAGTGTTTTTAAAAGTCTTTGGTTTTACTCCTAGGACCTTGATCCATCTTGAGTTAGTTTTTGTTTGGTGAGGTATGTGTCTTTCTTTAGTTTTCTAGAGATGGTTTTCCGAAGTGATGTTTTTTAATTTTAAACAAAAAGTCTGTCATTTCTCTACTTAGCTAATTTCATTGTCTTATCCAAAAGCAGTTGAGCATAGAGAGATGAGCTGACTTCTGGGTTCTCAGTTTAATCCATTGATCTGTGTGTCCATCATTGAGTCAGTATCACTGTCTTAACCACCAACTTGTGTCGTAGGATTTGAAATCAGGAAGTGTCATGCCTCTTACCTTGTTTCTCCATTTTTTTTTAGAAGTGCTTTGCTTATTACAGGTACTCAGGGTCTCTTCCCATTCTAAATAAAATCCAGTCTTCTGCTTTGCTGGCTCCAAAATCCAAAGTGATAGCTCACAGACCACACAGAACCATACTGGAGAAGTCAAAAGTTTATGACCCAGACTAATAACAATACATTCAAGACGTCTTGCTCCCGAAATGTGCAAGCAGGCACCTCAGCCCTTGAGCCTTGTGGCTTTTTGGCCAGTATTCCCAAGATTATAATCCTGATTATAATACTGACTTTCCCTAATTGTCTAACACAGTTCTCATTCCTGCCAATATTGGCTCTCCGTCTCCTCTCATGTTGGGGTCTCCAGTTTGGCCTTCGGTTTTAGTGCTGTAGCTGGAGTTGGAATAGAAAGGGTGGTCTACATTGTCTTACTTTCTCTTCAGTGGTACCAGAAGAGCTATCTGTCTCTTACTCTGGCTTAATTCAGTGGTGGGACTATTCCCTTTGTAGATTGTTGAGACTGACCAGTCATCTTGTAGATAGGTTAACACTACCATTTTCATATTACTGCCAATCTAAGAAGCATCCTCTCTTCTTAATACAGTAAGTACTTCAGCACATAAAAAGTTAATCTTTTGGCCAAGAAAGAAATTTTGAACGATAAACCTTAGATACTCAAAGCCCTTTAAGTTCTTCTTCTCCTTTGTTGACCCTCCTCTGCTTGTCCATGTGTTACGTACTTTCCATGATGTGACACAAAATCTTAATAATAACGCCTCTAAAGAGCATCTTCTCTACAGATCTTGCAAGGCGGATTTGTTTATTGCATTTTTCCCCCCCAACACAACAATTCAGAGGGATCACTTCTTCTGAGATTGAGTCTATTATTGCAGCCACTACCTCAGTTTTTCTTGTTATGAGTCTTCTTTCATTGATCTTTTGTTTTACCAAGAATGATGTCCGTTTCCCAAACATGCTCAACGTCTTGCACCTATTCCAAGACAGCCTTGTTTGTTCTTTTCCCAGTACATGGGATATTTAATATTATTTGCCAAAACCATAATTCAGAGGCATCAGTTCTTAACTTTATTCACTATCTGACTTGTACATGATTATCAGGCCCTTGAGAATATGACTCGGATCTAATACCTTCTCAAAGTGACTTTCTTACTAATTAGCACTTTAAAACAATTGTACAGGGTTCTTTTGCAATATGTTGTTTGATTTCTTCACAGATTCTCTTTTGGAGGTTTGCTGCTTCCATGGACATGGACTGAATTAAAATGAAATTTAATCCTTACTAGCTCCCCCCCCCCAATTTATCATAATGTCAAAATTTTTGTTTTCTTTGTGTTGAAATGTAATCTATATAGAAGACTATATAATCTTTGCTGTTCAACAATAAATTCTTTATTTCTTCATTTTTTAACAAAGCACATTATAAATTAGGGTGGAATATTACTCTGGTGTTGTATGTTTAGGTTTTTTAAGTATATTTACCTGCAATTTATGATTTGTTTCAGTCATCATTGAATTTTGAGAAACATTCTGAAAACTTTTCATGGACAGAAAATCGCTATGATGTGAATCGTCGGCGACACAACTCTTCAGATGGCTTTGATTCTGGCATTGGGCGCCCTAATGGAGGTAAAGTTTGCTAAAGAATACTTTGAGTTGAAGGACAGTTTTTTTTTAATCTTTCAACCACCTTCTTGAATTTATAATACTTTATTGTTATCTAATAAAGGTAATTTTGGAAGGAAAGAAAAAAATGGATGGCGTACACATGGAAGAAATGGTACTGAAAATGTAAATCATAGAGGAGGATACCATGGTGGAAGTTCCCGTTCTCGTAGCAGTATTTTCCATTCTGGAAAAAACCAAGGACTACATGAAAGTAATATGCCCGACAATGAAACTGGCAGGAAAGAAGACAAGAGAGAACGAAAACAGTTTGAAGCTGAGGACTTTGTAAGTTTCTTATAGTATTAATATAAATAAGATTTTGCCAGTGATGTTTTAGGATACAATTTTCTTCTGTGATTTTCTATTAGTAATGATCATTTTCTACAGGGATCACTCTTTCTGCAGAAATTTTGTCCAATTTCTAACTCCTAGATATTTCAAGAGCATTTTGTTCATTTTCTTTACTTTAAAACATTATAGGGTTGCTTAGTTCTAAGACCTTGTAATATGACATTTTAAAAACTTGATACACTGAGCTTACATTTCAGTTAAATTTATTTTAAGATCAAATCTTTATAGAAATGGGAGTGACCTCACGTATTACATATTCATCATAATATCTTAAAACAGCTTTACACCCTTATGATAATTTACCAAAATATTTTTCCCTTATGTTATCCTTTTTATACAATATTTGATTATTCATGTATAATTTTAATGTTAATTTTGGGATAATATTTTTGTCTTTAAGCTACTTTATGTACTCCACATTCCCCCCTTCATTTGGGAAGGCAAGCAAACCAGTATCCTGGAGACTAATGTAATTGAGAATATTAACTCTGCACTCGCAGCATGAGTTAATGAAAACCAATTTTTTCCTATTCCTAAATCTTAAGAGTGTGATTTTCAGGTTAGAAAAAATTGGTCCTCATAATCATAATCTTGTTTATCTAGTTCAGTTGTGGCTCATTTTTGTTATTTTAGAACCTAACTACTGTGAAACTTTAAAAAAAATAAAAGACTAGATGCTAAGTTGAGTCTGATTCAAAATGATCCTTTATTAGATTTGTTTTTAAAAAAATATTTTTTCATTGAATATTTTCTTCCCTCCCCTACCCCAGCCCATCTCACAGTGTACCCCTTTTTCCAGATTGTTGCCATATATAAAATGCCTAATCATATATCCCTTTAGGGCATTTCTTCCCTTCATTTGTTCTAATACAGTGTTCCTTATCTGTCTATTCTTTCCTCATTCTCTCCTCAACCTCCCATGTTAGTCCTGCTTGTAACAGCAGTGTTATCCAGTGTTTGTCCTTTTGTGACTGAAATAATTACTGTACTCAGTGTAATGTCCTCCATGCCCTCCCATTTGTGTAATGTTTTACCAGTGCATTGTTTCAGTGCTGTGTAGTATTCCATTATGTGAATGTACCATAGTTTTTCTATCCATTTGTTTGTTGATGTGCACCTGGGTTCCTTCCATTTCTTTGCTATTAGGAATAACGCTGTTAACAGTAGACATGAGTGTGCATATGCCTGTTTGAGTTGTGACTCTGATTTCTTTAGGATATATTCCCAGTAGTGGAATTGCTGGGTCAAATGGTAATTTCTAGTTACAAAGCACCGACTACCTTCCATAGTGGCCGTACCATTTTACATTGCCACCAGCAGTGAATGAAATTTCCAGTTTCCACAACTTTGCCAGTATTTGTTGTTTGGGTCATTGGATTTCTGAGGCTGCCTGTCTGTTTTTCCCACCTTTGGAACCACTTGATGGATTTGAACTGCTGGACCGACCACACCATACCTCTAGAATAGTGACAATTGTAGGTCATAGTTTGGGGGGGGGGTGTCCATTTTGTATTTAACATTTTCTTGACTGTGTATGTATCATGCTTCTTCTGGAACAGTTGGAGATTTGAGCTCACCATCCAGTCTGCAGGATAAGTCTCCAAAGAGTCATACTTGACCTTATGGCAGTATGTCAGAGGGTTAGGGGTATCAGTCACTGACTTAAATTCAAGATACACATGCTGATACGATCAGTGAAACCCCTTGCTCTTACTGAGTTTCAGTCCTAGGGGAAACAGGAAGACTATTAAAAAAGTAAAATAGTATTTTGCAGAGAAGTCAGATAGTGACTGGGTGGCTGCATTGTCAGGAAAGGCTTCTTTAAGGAAGTTATATTTTACTTGATATATTGAATACAGAAAGAGCTTTATTAGTTTGGCTCCTATCAGATAAGAGCTGGTATTTTATGTCTAAGAGATAAGTAAAAGCCTAGTAGTAGGGAAAGAGTTGTATGAGACCAGGTTATAGAGGTGTCTGATACCTACTCCCATTGAATCCATTCCAACTCTTAGAAATAGGTAGAACAGAAAAATAGAATTGTCTAAGAATTTCATGAACTATAATATAAATCTGCAGCCTACAATATGGATTGAGGCTCAATGTCAAGAAGACCAAGATTCTCACCACTGGACCAATTGGCAGCATCAGGATGGATGGTGAAGAGATTGAGATTGTACACAGCTTTAGTTTGCTTGGCTCCATAGTCAACAGTCTTGGCACCAGCAGCCAGGAAATTAAAAGGCGCATTGCCATGGGAAAGTCTGCTGTTAGGGACCTCTCCAAAGTACTGAAGAGCAATGGTGTCTCTTTGGAGACGAAGGTGCGTCTGATACAGGCTTTGGTCTTCCCAATCACTTGTTATGCATCAGAGAGTTGGACAATGACCAAGGAGGATAGAAGGAGAATTGATGCCTTTGATCTGTGGTGCTGGAGAAGAGTATTGAGAATGCCATGGACTGCTAGGAAAACAGATTCGTCCTGGAAAGGGTTAAACCGGGTGGCTCCTTGGAGGCAAGGATTCTGAGGCTCCGTCTAACATACTTTGGACATATTGTGAGGAGAGACCGGTCCTTGGAGAGGGACATCGTGCTTGGGAGGGTGGAGGGACAGCACAGGAGAGGAAGGCCCTCTATGAGGTGGATTGATTCAGTGACTGGGATAATTGGGATGGGAGTGTCAGAGACAGTGCGATTGGCACAGGACAGAGAGGAGTTTAGGGCAGTTGTACATAGGGTCGCTATGAGTCGCAAGCGACTCGACGGCACATAACAACAACAACAACATAATATAAATCTTATAGAACTAGACTACTTTGCATGGAGAGAGTGGTGGTGACTTCCATGAGTGATTGTTTCCAGCTCTGACCTTAAGGCTTGTAACAGGTATTTTAACCACTCAGTTACCAGGGCTCCTGATTAGAGAAGTAGAGAAGAACTTAATTGACTGGTCTCTTGTAAAGTAAAAATTTTCTTTTAATTCTATGTGAAGTGGGAAGTCTCTCTCAAAAGGAATGGCTTTAGTGTGATTTATTTTTGTTATTGTCACTGTTTTCCTTGTTGTGTACCATGAAAATTGGGTCCAAATGGCACAAGACGAGATTGCCCCTCCTTCTCCAGCAGAGCATCTGGTGTTAAATCGAACTGTGCACCTTTGGAATTGCGGCGCGGCTTCTTGCCACTGGGCCACTAGAGCTCTTTAGTTGTGATTTGAAAAACAAAAAACCACTCCAATTGCTTTGTGTTGATTGGATTATTACAGCAGCTGGAGAAAACCCTAGGGTCTTGGAGGGGCACACTGGTCCAAGTCCTTAGAAGCAATCATAGTTGGGTCTGTGAAAATGATGATTTGGGTAAACTCTGCTGCCAATGGGCAAGTATGGAGTTTTAATTTTACCAGCTGTTCCACAAGAGAAAGATGAACAGTCTCCTGTCATACAATTTCCTGCTTCTGAAAGCCTGCTGGTGGGTCACCTCTGAGTGGATTCTGTTTTAACAGTACACGAAGACCACTACAGTGGTAAATGAGGAGAACTGGTCTCTAGATAAGGTTTAGGATAGGAATAAGGCAGAGAGAATTCAGTAGATTGGTTTTTAGGACTGGAAGAATGGTTCTGAGGCATAACAGCCTTCTCTTGTGTTTCCAAGGCTGTTATCTATACAGGAGGAGACTGCTCATTTTTCTCCCCAGGACTATCTGGGCGATTTGAACTCTTCATGCTTTGTTTAGTGGCCTGTTCTGTGCTAAGCCACTAAGGCTCTCGGAGAGTTGTAAGGAATAAAAAAGAGTATAAGAGATTTTTTTTAGGTCCTAACTCTTCCTATTTCAATTTTCCAATTATTTTCATTTCCTAGTAACCATACAGTGAACTTTCTTTAAGCTGATGGTAATAGTACATTCTCAGAACACTGAGATTTAAAATAAAAAACCCAAATAACTTGTGAGATAAGTCAGTCAGAAAAGGAAAGATAACGATCTATGTTGTAAACACTATGAAAATGTTGCCACACAAATAGATTGATTCCTGTATGTATAGTTACCAGATATAGAAAAGTAGGAAAATTTAGTAAATGGTTACTAGGTATACCCAGTAAGATGGTTGAAGCAAAGGCAGTATCCAGAATGGGGCTGATCAGCATAGTATTGCTAAAGGAAGGGAAGACAGAGATGTATAGAAAAATTAAAATGAGAATCCAAATTACTGAGAAGTGGAGAAAAATAAGACTACACATAGGGACAGAAGTGAATGTTGTTAAACCAAATCTGAATGGTGAAATGAAAAATTGTTCCTTCACACAAATCAAATTTTTGACAAGTAAATCACTTGTGCCTGATACATAATGCTCTGTAGAAGCTAGTTGCTGGTTTGTTAATGTTAAAGTCTCAAATTTAATACTAGTGCAGGTGTATGGACCTAGAGTATGATTTGTAATAATAGAAACATTTTTAATGCACGTAAAATCCAAGCTAACAATTGCTGTTGTGCCATTTTTGATTGACCCCAGGCTTTACAGAGTAGATCTTCTCCATAAAGTTTTTTGGCTCTAATCTTTATAGAAAGATTGCCAGGTCTGTTTTCCACATAGTCACTTGGATAGGTTCAGACTTCCTTTAGGTTAGCAGCCTGTGGATTACAAACTGCTTGTGCCAGGCATTAAATCTATACATTTTATACATCCTACCAAAATCCTATTAACTCTTAATTCTGTCAGGTAACCTTATATACATGCATGCAGTTTTAGTGCTTTACAGTGATGCTGGTACACTGTAAGTAACTTCTGTGGGAGATTGAAATTTCATTTATATTAGGAACAATTTTATTCAGTATTAAAGTATCTTTTTAAAGTAAGCCAAACTGTACTGCTAAGATTACGGAAAACACATGATATAAAAAACTAAAAATTTGGCATTTTAGAAGAAAGAAAAATCTATCCCTGTATATTAGCTTTATAATATCCATTTAATGCTCAGCTCCGTGTTTTTAAGTAAGTTGAGTGTATTGAAATAAAATTTATGCCTTCCTTTGGAAATGGGTGTCAGCTCAAGCATACAGTTTAAAAACCTCCAGAAGAATTAAAGAATAGTTTCATTTTCCTGTTCACTTCTTTTGACCTTGTGCTAAGGAAGGATTCCTTTTCACATTGATTGAAAGACTATTCACTCAAGTTAACATTTCATCAGGTGGTTGGAAATACTGAAGACTTCTGCTTTTTCCTGAGTAGTGTGTGTGTAGATAGTATTTTACTAATATTTTAGAGTTTGAGTCTGTCGTGGTCATAATAGCTTCCTCAGTAGTTAAAATGTGTGTAAATTTGAGACTTCATTTAAAGGATTTCATTTAAAAAATCATAAGCCATTAAACATGTTTTAATACTTTTATTCCGTCTTTCTTCTAGCCATCTTTAAATCCTGAGTATGAGAGAGAACCAAATCAGAATAAATCTTTAGCTGCAGGTGTATGGGGTAAGTAGTTTATGATATACTTCTGAAGAGGATAAAATGTTGATATTTGTAGATCTAACTTTTTAAATTATAAAATGCAAGCTAGATTAAAACTTTATTTTTTTAAAAAACTTCATTTTTGATACACTGAACTTCAAAAAGGGCTTTTTAAGGAAGTATTTTTAAGATACTTGAGGTGTAGAGGAAGAGTTTGACTTTAAATTGTTTATTTGCAGATGTTAATACTATTAAGTATACTCAATTAAGAATTTCTTCTAAAAATAATTTAGTTAATGTAATGAAATTATGTCATGTTTCTAACCTGATAACCTAAGGAAAACAGAAACTTGGTGAACTTTAAAATTCTTCTGATGAAATTAGTCTTTTAACTAATGAAAATGTTTCTATATATACTGTTAAAAATATTTGTATAAATTTGCCATGTCGATAAGTCTATGTTGGAGATAATTTGTCGATTTTATTATCAAAGCTTAGAGTTTTTTCTGGTAGTCACTCCCTTTTCTTTAAAAATGAATGAGAGTTTAATTTTACAGAATAATAAACTGCCTCAAGTAGTAAAAATAGACAGCTTTTTAAGAGTCATGTGAAGTTTAAAATAATGGAAAGTTAAAAATATTAATATTTGCAAGCTAAGCAATAAGATTATTATATACCAAATTTTAAAGTGCTGTATTCACTTTGGAACTTAACTTGTACCATGTCCATTTGTTATTTTTTTCCTATTGAATATCAGGAACTGTTAAAAAAAGATTGTTGCTTATGACAGCACACTAGTTCTAACAATAAAGGCATTATTTTAAACTTTGCCACTTTCCTGTGCTGTTCTTTGTTGTATTTATGGAATGATAACTCTGGGGAGTTTTCTTTTGATCTCCCTATTTGTTTATGGCTTTCTGGGGTGGGGGATGGGAGTGATCATACACTTTTGTTAGAACCATGTGAATGGCATTGTTTTTTCTGTATTGCAAATTAGTATTTCTACCACTCTCCCCAGGCCAACACGCCCAGACACACACATACCCAACCAAAAAAATCTCCCAAGCTCCTCTCTTAGGTATGTTTCCTTATTATTCAGTTTTTCTGGGAACAACTGATTGCATAAGAATATAGAATCACCTGGAAGATGTTAAATAGAAACTCTAAGAAATAGGAATAATTTAGATTTGATTAGAATGAAAGTAAATTTTTAAAAATCAAGAATGTCAGTGATAGTTTGTCATATAAAACTACCTATAGATATTATTTGTACTGATCCTTGGTTGATTTAATAATGATAGAAATTATTTAAAGGCAGAGACATCTTTGAAAATAAGACTAAAATGTATTAATATAAAGATTTTTGGTTCTACTGTTTCAGGCTTGGTGTAAGGATTTTGAGCACTAGTTGAAAAGATGTTTAAAAGGAAGATGTACTCTTTTCTGTGTCTTAGGTAAACTAAAACATGTATCTGCATTAGAGAAATAAATATGGTTGTGACTTGGTTAATTGTTAAATTCCCAGCACTTTCCATATTAATACAATGAAACTTCCATTGAATCACACGTCACTATTTGAATCTCACTACCCGTTTGGTCCACAATTACTGTTTTGCCCATTACAACATTTAAAATAGCTTATGTTCCTGAGGAAGACTTGAGAGAATTTTAGGAAAGACTTCAATAGAGCTTTTCTAGTGCTTCTTCCTTCCAGGTAAGTCAGTATTTAACAATGAAAATGTAGTGTGTATAAAAGGAATAATAAACGTTTGTCCTTGAAAAGAAGTTTTGTAGATGAGAAATTGGAAGTTTCTAAGAAGCATTCCAGTTTAAAAAGTATCTTGGGGGTGGGGGGTGGGGGTGGAGAATAAGCTACCCAAGATGTTTTTTAACCTATTTTGAATTCCACATTCTACTTAAAATTAACTTTATTGTGAATCCCTTTCTCTAATTTCTATCTCTTAACTGTAGTGCTTTGATCTTATCCTTGATTGCCCCTCTTTGTGGTGCTTAAGATGATTTTTCCGTTCTTAGTAATTTACTTGGTTAAGTGCTTCATTGTGTCTGTACAAGTATTTAGAATATTTAGGTATATGAACTGATTAATTGGGAAGGAGGAAAGAGAGAGGAAGATGTATGTTTTATGTGTTTATATGAAGGTTTGAAAAAAGGAGCCCTGGTGATGCAATGCTTAAATGCTCAACTGCTAACTGAAATGTTGGTTAGTTCAAAGTTGACCAGCTACTCCATGTAAGAAAGACGTGATAGTCCGAGATTATCATCTTGGAAACCCTATGGGGAAGTGCTATTCTGTTCTTTAAGATTGATGTGAGTTGGAATTGACTCAGCCTACACACACTAACAAAATCTATTTTGAGTCCTCATTGGTGGTTATTGACTTTTTATGTTTTCAGAAGTTGGACTGATTATTTTCCTTTGTCATCCATTTAACAGATTAAAATATTTAAAGCTTAAATAATGAAAGAGCTTATTTAACTAGTAAATGTTACTAGTCAGCATTTTTTCCCCATCTCTTTATTGATAAATTGATGAACTTTTCTATTTGCCCATATTTGGCACATTATATCAGAGCATCTAGTTTGGTTTTAACTTTTTAAATCATTTACATATTTATAAAGTAGATCTCTTGAAGCGTGTTCTTTTTTTTATGTGACTTGAATTACCAAGTAAAAATTGTTGTATTTAAAAACCAAAACATGTACAGAAATGAAATGAAATAAAAGCATTTAAAGCCAGTTGAATTCAAATAGCATTACTGTAAATGCTATCTTACACCGATTATTTTTCTTAAAACTAATGATTGTGATAGGAATTTAATTTTTGTGGTACAGATCCTTTAAGTTTGATATGGCTCCTAGTAATTGTAAGTTTTCTCTTCAGATTATTTTTAAAACTTGTTTAATTAAAAATTTATTCTTCATTTGGTTCTGTATTTTTTTTAATGTATTAAAGTTTGCCTCTTAATGATAAAGAGGGGAAAAAGAGAGATGTGAATGTAATGGTAATGGAAAGAAGGTAATCAGCTACAAGATTTATCCTAACTGTTCATTATGTTTTTTGTATTTGTGTATTTTTGTTTAGGAGTAGATATTTTTTAAAAAATACCTAGTACAACTAGTTTAATTTTCATTTTCTCCAGTAGTAGAATTTAATAGTTACGAACACTGATTTTAGAAATTACACATATCTACACTGTTGCCTTATTTACTGTTATCAGTTGCTGTTGACTCTGACTCAAAGTACAGCAAAATAAAGCCCTGCCCAAGCCTTAAAATCTATGCTGTGCTCCACTGTTGCAGTCACTGTGTAAATTTATCTTACTAAGATCTTAGCTGCATGATGTCCTTCTCCAGGACTTTGCTCACCCTCATATGAACCAAAGTCTTAGCATTGTTGCTTGTAAGGAGTGTTCTGAAGGTACTTTTCCAAAGACAAATTTGTTTGTTGTTTTGGCAATGCTTGATAAAGTCAATACTCTTCACTAATACATTTCAAAAACATCATATCTTTCATTGTCCCAACTTTCATATGCATATGAAACATTTTAAAATACTTTGGTTTGTATCAGATAGACCTCAACTCACAAAGTAACATCCTCATTCTTTCACACATTAAAGAGGACTCATAGTGACCTCTTGTATAAAAGCATAAAGTGTACTGCTTTGTCCTAAGCCATCCTTATACTCTGTACTGCTCTTTAGTTCATTATTGCAGTCACTGTCTTACTCCATCTGGTTGGTGTGTTAAAACTTATTAATCATTATTTCTAGGTTGAACTCTAGAAATAGTTTTTTATAATTTCAGCAACTGATGTACCCTTGAGAAATACCTGCAGTTACAAACCCAAGAAGCAAAGGCAGACTTAGTTGGCCTGTACCTTGCACAGAATCATAGATGGCCAGTATATATTTGAGCAGATTGGTACTTTGAAAAGACTTTTTTGTTAAGCATAACTTAATTAGAAATTTACTAATAGAGATACTACATAGTTGATAACTTCATAAGTGATAACTTTATAAGTGGTGTTAAGGATGAAGATGAATTAAGAAAATGGAATTACTTATTCAAACTATGGTAATGAGAAACAGATATATATTTTATATTCTAATTGAAAAAACCATTAGTGTAATTTGTGATTTTTGTTGTTGTAGTTAATTTTTAAAAAATATGTTAAGACTTTAATTAATCTTTACTTTGTCTAGATAACATTTTTAGGCCCCTGCCTAACCTAATTGATAAGTCTTGTTCAATGTGTGCTGTGTTCTGTTGGATTTAAGATTTTACTTAAAACAAACAAAACCCCACACAAAAAACCCATAAAAAAACCACACACCACAACCCAGAAATAAAGTTACTTGTCAGCATTTTATACAGGAGGCAAATGATGTTTTTAAAACATAACCAAAATTTGGATTATACTGTTCTTTTGGTAGTATTGTTCTTTGCTAAAAAAAAAAAAATCGAAATGATGTATAACTCTTGCTCGTGCTTTATTTATGCAGAATATCCTCCGAATCCAAAACCTAGAGCTCCAAGAATGCTGGTCATTAAGAAAGGTAATTCAAAAGACTTACAGCTATCTGGATTCCCAGTAGTGGGAAATCTTCCATCACAGCCAGTTAAGAATGGGACTGGTCCAAGTGTTTATAAAGGCTTAGTCCCGAAACCTGCTGCTCCACCTACAAAAGTAAGTTCTAAATTACTGGAAAATAGAAATTTTCAGTTGGTATCAGTTAATTTATTTTGTGAGAGGAAAAAAAAAAATTAAGTGTCAGGATATTGATAGGATGTTGTGTTCTAGAAATTGACTGCTTGTTCATGAACTAATTTTTACATTCTCTTTAAGTGTTGTATATTTAGTTTTAGTGATGGTAATTTAATTTTGTGAAATTTTTATTTTTTTATTAGTTCTAGTTGCTTAATGTTCAGTAATTCTCTTTGATGTTCAGTGTAAGTCTTTTAAATTCCCACATGGTATTTCTTAACATCTGGTGAAAGAAACCTAACTAGATTTATAGATCGTAAAATAAATATCAGTGTAATTGGCTGTTTTTATCTACTAAACTTTGATTTATAGGAAGAGTGACAGAGGAAAGATAATCATGAGAATGATTTAAAGAAAGATCTTTTTTAAAAGTTTTTTTCTGGCTAAATGTAACTGCTTTTCTTTCTTCCTCTCTTGCTCTTGTTTTTTTCTTTTTTTTATAATCTCTTTATGATAGCTTATTAATGTTTTTGTGTTTTTTCTTCAGCCTACACAATGGAAAAGCCAAACTAAAGAAAATAAAGGTGGACCATCTTTCTCGCATGAGTCTTCATATGGTGTTGGCAACTTTAATGCTTTCAAATCGACTACAAAGAATTTTAGTCCATCAACAAATTCTGTGAAAGAGGTAATGCCATTAACAGTTATTCCTGAGAGTGGTAATTGAATTAACATTGAATAAAGATACAGTTATCTAGAAGAGAGATATTTTAATTCCTTCAGAAAACTATTATACTTCTCTCTGTTTACTAATCATTTTGGGGCTTTGAACAAGTAGGAACAATTTTTAATTTTTCAAAAAAAAAAAAAGTGGGGAAAACAATGTAGGTGAATGCCTATATACTCATTAGTCAAATCTTTGTTAAAAAGAAATTTGTTAAGAAAATAATTGCTATGAAAATAGCATTTTTTTTCCCTTTTCTCTTTGTTGTGTAACATCATATTAGACCTGACTGATACAGGAGGACATTGCCCCTTCTCCAGCAGAGCATCTAGTAGATTTGAACCTCGTGCCTTCGAGATTGCAGTGCAAAAAATAGCATTATTTTCTATTTTATGATTTTGTATTACCTGATCCTCTTATTTTAAAGGTGATAGAAAAAATGTATTAGTGTTAACGGAGAACGAAGAGGAAAAGGTTCATATTTTATTATACTGATGTAAAATGGAGCTAAGATAGCCTAATGGATAAGGAATTGTACTGGCAACCCAAAAGCATGTGGTTTGAATCCACCGTGTGCTTCTTCCCCAAGAGAGATGAAAAAAAAATTCAGTGAAGGGTCAGTGAGTCAGTCTGACTTCGAAGTGTATAACAACTAATCTAAATGTATCAGTAAGAGTGCATATTATAATGATAATGACTAAGTATATGGTAATTCATTGACCAGACTTGAGTTCAGGACATTTGTGACTATATTGTTATATCTGAAATAACTCTGGACAATAGTTTGAGACTTCATAACCGTCATAAACTATTTTGTAAAAAATATCAAACACACACCTGAATCATCATTATGGTAAAAGTTTTGCACAGAAAAGTCAGTATAGGTATTTTTTAGTGACACTGGTTGCATTTTTCACAATGTTCTCATTCCATCAGGATGTTTCATTTCCATAATCTGGTTTTCGTGTCTCCTACAACTTCAACTTTTTTTTAAAAAATTAATTTTAATGCAAGTTTTTAGAGACTTAGGGTTTCCAGTCATTTATTGGTGTACTTTTCTCCCCACCCACCCTATCCCCCCAATCCACTCTTCTTGAAAAGAAAAAGAAAAACTCTTTCATTGTTATGCAGTCGCTCCCCCCAAGTCCACTCTACTATGCAGCCTTCACTCTGGACTTCTGTAATGACAAGAATACCCATTCATATGTCCCTTTTAAATGGTTCTCTACCTCATATGTTTTAATGCAGTATACATCATTCAACCCCTCCTCCTCTGTCTTCCCTCAACACTAATATCAGTTCCATTTTACAGCAGTGGCCCATACAATATTTGTCCTTTGGTGACTGAGATAACTTGACTCAGCATAATATCCTCTAGGGTCACCCATTTTGCATAATATTTCATGAGTTCTTTTTTCCATGCTGCGTAGTATTCCATTGTGTGAATATGTCAGTGCTTCTCTGTCGGTTTATTTATGGGACAACTTCAACTTTGATAAAAGTTGTTGAGCATTCGGTCTTTTACATGATTACTAAAAGCGCATAACACTCATAGGTATTTAATAAACACTATTTTATGATCCAGCCTATTTAATGAAGAGATGATCTTGAGTACTTTTACTGTAGGCTTTGATGTGCATAGATTTAATGATAAGTTAGCAGTCTTTTAGTTTACTGGTCCAGTTAATCTTATTTCTGTAGATTATTTATAGCTTAGAATTTTAGAATTGTAAAGGAAGAGGCTTTCTGTAGCCACATATTCTCAGTTGATTTAATTTTGCCTAGTTTAGTGCGCAGACATAAGGTAATACCAGTAATTAGGGCAGTTATGGTCTTTTTCCATAGTTAAAACTACCTGTGACAAAGATTCTAACATTCTCTTTTCTATTGTATCCCACTCTTAAAAAAAATGCTATAAAGAACCAAAACAAAAACAGAAGGATTTAATTCTCCTCTCTCTAGCTGTTGGTTCCTCAGAATTTTTTACTGGTGAAATCTTACACTATAAACCCTTTGTATTTATAGAAATAATAAAATGGATTATTTGACACTGTTTAGCATTCAGGTATCAAAAATCATAGTAGTATCTGATTTTTATTGCTTCTGGATTGTTGGTATAAAGTATTAAATGAAGTGTCTAAGAAAATTCTTTAGTTTAGCAATACTTACTCAGTGGTAAAGAAAACAAAGGCAAACTAACCTTTATTGGGAGAGAGAGATACTAGATTTTGAAATAGACATTAAAATGAATTTTCTGTGTGTGTAAACATAAAATTAAAAAAATTGTAATTGTGAACGATGCATATGTACCCTGGCTGTCTAGTTAAGTATAATTTCTAAATCTCCTCTTAGTGTAATCGTTCAAATTCCTCTTCACCTGTTGACAAACTTAATCAGCAACCTCGTTTAACCAAACTGACACGAATGCGTACCGACAAAAAGAGTGAATTTTTGAAAGCATTGAAAAGGGACAGAGTAGAAGAGGAACATGAAGATGAAAGTCATGCTGGCTCAGAGAAGGTAATTGAATTTATGGTAGCTCTTGGTCTGAAATGAAGTATTTAAAATACCATTAAAGTATCTAGTCAAATGTTATTTTGGAATTTTGATTAAATAAAAATCTCCTAAAGATAGTTTCAATTCCATAAATAGTGACTTCTTTTTTAAATACAGATCTCTCCCCACCCCCTTCATTTCTTTTTTTTTTTTTAATTATATTTTATTAATTTTCATAAACATTTATAGAGATTTTGGGCTTCCACTCATTCATTGTTGCACTATTCTCTCTACCCTCCTCCCAGTTTGTTCTTGTCCAAATGCCATAGTGCTTGTCAAAGCCAGTTCTGATTAATCTTCTTTGTCAGTGTGTCCTTTGCCATTCCCTGTCACTCCTCCCTGAGAGAGACTTCACCCTGAGTCATAAGGAAAAGGGGACGGCGTATTCTCTTAGCTACTTCCTGCTGAAAAGGGACGCTGTGGGTTTCAGGGTGAAGATCTTCTCTCACTACTCTAAAGGGCCCCTTTGGCAGTAGGAAACACATTGACTATTATGGAGATTGATTTTGGAATTCAGATGCACTCTTATTGATTGTGCTTGGCTGTACATGTACATATCCTTCAAGATGTATCATGGGGGTGTTGCAACCTAGAAGACACAAATTTGACTAACAAGTTATAAGTACATGAGTCCAAAAATTATGGAAAAGTAAAAGAAAAGATTCTTTCATTGTTTTACAAACCCTCCCCCAGGTCCCCTCCACCATGCAGCCCTCGCTCTAGTGTCCTGTGATGACAGAAATACCCAGTTACATCTCTCTTTTAAACGGTTCTCTCCCTCCTCTGGTTCAGTGCAGTATACATTATTGAACCCATCTTACTCAGTCTCTCCCCAACCCCAAGGACAGTCCCATTCTACAACAGTGGCATCATGTAATATTTGTCCTTTTGTGACTGGGATATTTCACTCAGCATAATGTTCTCCAGAGTCAACCATTTTGAATAATATTGCATGAGTTCCTTGTTTTTTAATGCAGCATAGTATTCCGTTGTGCGAATATACCACAGCTTCTCTAGCCATTCGTTTGTTGATGGGCACTTAGGTTGTTTACAACTCCTTGCTATTGTGAACAAAGCTGCAATAAACATGGGTGTGCATCCCACCCCCTTCATTTCTATGTATACACTTTTTTCTTAAGTCCTGATTATCCTGAGCATCGTCAGAGCTTTGGGTTTGTTTTTTGGGTGACCCAGAGAAGCACCCCAGGTTCAGCTAGTGGTCTCTTAACACGTTGCCACAAATGACGGGGGAAAAAATGTGTTTCTAAGCACCGTCTCAATTTAAAAGTGTGCGGTAACTTGTTTATTTAAGTGGCCAAGACTATTGAAGGTGCTGTGATTGTTGTCAAAATGTGTAATGTTTGATGATGAGATAACCCCCCCCAAAAAAGGTTTAGGTGTATTCTTTGGAACTAATCTTTTTTTCTTTTTTTATGGACTTAAAACTAAGGAGGAAGATTCGTTTAATTTGCACAACAGCAATAGTAGTCATCAAGAGAGGGATATAAATCGAAACTTTGATGAAAGTGAGATTCCACAAGAGAATGGCAATGCCTCAGTGCTTTCTCAACAGATCATTCGGTCTTCAACTTTTCCACAAACCGATGTGCTTTCAAGTTCACTTGAAGCAGAACACAGGTTAGTAGTTTTTACTTTTGTGCTCGTTACTTTCTACACTCAAGATTTTATCTTTCTCTGTTTTATGTTGTGTAGTTAATTTTCAAAACTTAGCCATAACTTCCATATTTCAAACTTCACTCATATTAAGCATTTCTGTCAAGGTGAGTTTGTTTTTGGGGTTTCGTTGTTTTTTGGGGGGGGTGTTTGTGCTACTTAACTCATAATGGCTCCAATTCTGGAACATCTTTAATAAAAGACCAAGAGTAACATATACCTGAGTATGTGTTAATGTTTTTAATACCGTCACAGTTGTACAACTCCACACCACAGCTTTCATTTTATTTGCTTATTTAGTAATTAATTTATTTTTCTTCGCACAGTTTCAGAACATTACTGTGAAACGTTGCACCAATGATATTGGCAGTCATTACCTGTTTATCCTCTTTGCCATATATAATCACTACCTTAAATCTCTCTACATTTGCCTTTTCTGGATGTTTCATATGAATGAAATCATATAATAGGCTGTTTGGCCTTTTTGAGTTGTAATATGTATATAGTACATACTTAGTATCTGAATGAAGTGCTGTCAACTTCCAGGCTGACACATGCTTAGTCAGGTTTGATTGTTAGGAGTCGTAAAATTTTCACTAGCTGATTTTTCAGTAAGTAAAGTATGTAAGTTAGGGTTTTTTTTTCTACTCTGTCAGTCTGTTTTGTATCAGGGCAGCACACAGACTCCCTTAGATAAGTGGTGAGTGGCTTTAAAAAATTTTAATTACTGTAAATTCCTATAGTGTGAAGAGATAGGTTTATGTCTATGTTACAAATCCTAAAAAGATCAGAAAAGAGTAAAGAGCTGGAGTAAAGGTTTTAACTGATACTGAACCATTTGAACTCTTTAGGGCCTATTTTGTTTACCAGCATTGGAACTGACTCAGAACTGACACTCCAGTGTTTTCAGAGGCAGTAAATCACTTAGGAGCTGAGTCCCCATCTTTTTCTCATAGACCAGCTGGTGAATTTGAACCATGTATCTTTTATCTTTGTGTTGACAGCACAGTTCTTTACTGCTAAGCCACCAGAACTCCGTGCTGTTAGTAAGTGCCATTGAGTTGAGTATGATTCATAGTGACTCTGTGAACAACAGATCTGAACCCTGTCCTATCTTGTGCCATTCTTAAAATCTTTGACATACTCTATCCCAATGCTGCAGTAGTTGATCCATTTGGTTGAGGATCTTCCTCTCTTTCTCCAAACTTTACCTCACAAGCATAATAACCTTCTCTAAGGACTAGTCTCTCTCTCAGCAACATGCCTAAAGTGTGTGCGATGAAGCTTTGTCATCTTTGTCTCCAAGGAGCACTCTGCCTTCATTTTTCCAAGACATACTTGTTTTTTCTTTTGGCTATATGTGGAATATTCTTTGCTCTTCTCCAGCACCATAGCCCAGAGGCATCAGTTCTTCTTTCATCCTTATTCATTGTCCAGCTCTTAGATTCATTGCAAGTGATATGAAAGGCACAGGCCTGAATCAGGTGCACCTTCTTGTTGTTGTTATTCTTATGTGGCGTTGAGTCGCTTGCGACTCATAGTGACCCTGTGTACAACATCCCTAAACACTGCTCTGTCCTGTGCCAATCGCACCATCCCCGATACACCCATTTCAATTGCCCCAGTCACTAAATCAGTTCACCTAAGAGGACCTGCCCCTCCTGTGCTGTCCCTCCACCCTACCAAGCATGATGTCCATCTCCAAGGACAGGTCCCTCCTTACAACATGTCCATAATATGTTACATGGAACCCCAGAATCCTTGCCTCCAAGGAACCGCCTTGTTTGACCTTTTCCAGGATGAATCTTTTTGTTTTCCTGGCAGTCCGTGGTCCCCTCAATACTCTTTTCCAGCACCACAGCTCAAAGACATCAATTCTCCTTCTATCCTCCTTAGTCATTGTCCAACCCTCTGATGCATAACAAGTGATTGCAAAGACCATGGCCTGTATCAGACGCACCTTAGTCTCCAGAGAGACACCATTGCTCTTCAGTACTTTAGAGAGGTCCCTAACAGTAGACTTTCCCATCGCAATACGTCTTTTAATTTCCTGGCTACTGGTGCCGAGAGTGTTGACTGTGGAGCCAAGGAAACTAAAGCTGTGAACAATCTCAATCTCTTCACCATCCATCCTGATGCTACCAATTGGCCCAGTGGTGAGAATCTTTGTCTTCTTGACATTGAGCCTCAGTCCATATTGGAGCAAGCTTCAGGTCCTCCTCAGTTTCAGCAAGTAGGGTTGTGTCATCTGCATAATGCAGATTGCTGATAAGATTGTCCACCAATATTGACCCCACATTCCTCCTCATAGAGCCCAGCCTCCCGGATAATCTGTTGGGCATATAGGTTGAAAAGGTTTGGAGATAGGCGTGTCCCTGGCGTACGCCCTTTCCAATTTTGATCCATGCAGGGTTTCTTTACTCTGTTCTGACGACTGCCTCTTGGTCCAAGTATAGGTTTCTCATTAAGCCACGATCAAGTGTTCTGGGATTCCCATTCTTCTGAGAGTCAGTCACAGTTTGTTATGATCCACACAGTCAAACACCTTTGCATAGTCAATGAAACACAGATATACATTCCTCTGGTATTCCCTGCTTTCAGCCAAGATCCATCTAACATTAGCTACAATCCCTAGTACCACGACCCCTTCTAAACCCAGCCTGGACTTCTCTGCTGATGTGCTGTTCCAGTCGTTTTTGGATAATCTTCAGTAGAATCTTGCTTGCATGTGAAATTAATGCGATTGTTCTGTACTGTCCACACTGTGTTGGGTCACCCTTCTTTGGGATGGGAACAAATATAGATCTCTTCCAGTCAATTGGCCAAGTGGTTGTTCTCCAGATTTCTTGGCACAACTTGGTGAGCACATCCAGGGCAGCATCTGTTGGCTGAAATATGTCAATTGGTATACCTTCTATTCCTGGGGCCTTATTGTTTGCTATTTCCTTCAAAGTAGCTTGAACGTCTTCCTTCATCACCATAGGCTCTTGCTCATATGTTGTTTCATGAAATTCTTCTGTGTCTGCCAATTCCTTTTGATACATTACTCTATGTATTTCCATCTTCTTTTAATGCTTCCCGAATCATTTAGTATTCTTCCTCAAGCATCCTTGATTGTAGCAACTCGAGGTTTGAATTTGTTGTTCAGTTCCTTGAGCTTAAGAGATGCTGATCGAGTTCAGCCCTTTTGATTTTGGGACATGGAATGTGAGAACCATGAATGTAGGAAAATTAGATATTGTTAAGGAAGAAATGGAATGCATAAATATTGACATACTTGGTATTGGTGAGACGAGATGGACTGGCATGGGTCATTTTGAAGCAGATGATCATATGATATATTAACTCTGGAGATGAAAAGGTGAGGAAAAATGGAGTTGCTTTCATAGTTAAGAAAGCCATTGCTAGATCCAGTTTGAAGTACAGTATTGTGAGTGACAGGATAATATCTGTATGCATACAAGGAAGGCCAGTGAACATCTCTGTCATTCAGATATGTGCACCAACAACCAGAGCCAAGGAAGAGGAAATAGAAGATTTTTATCAACTTTGCTAGTCAGATTGATCAAACATTCAATCAAGGTGCATTGATAGTAATGGGTGACTGGAATGCAAAAGCTGGCAACAGAGAAGAGGATTCAGTAGTTGGAAAACTTGGACTCTGTGACAGGTGCACCTTAGTCTTCAAATTTATATCATTGCTCCTCAGTAATTTGGAGAAATCCCTTACTGCATACTGTCCTAGTGCAATATGTCTTCAGTCAACATCCTTCGTACCTGCAGTAAGATTGAAGACGTACTCATTAGGAAAATAAAGTGAAATAGTTGACAGTTTTAGTCTTACCAGTTATGATGTTGCCAGATCTAGTGGTTAGAAATCCACAGCCCATCACCCCACCCCCAGGATGTAATCCACAGCTTTTATCACCAGACCCCCACCACCACCACCACACACACACACACCTTTCTGTTAATAAGTAGAGTCATGTTTTGCTCAAGCCTGATACTCTGTGAGGCTATTTAGAGAAGGCAGGAAAGTTACAACTACTTAATATATGGCAAGGCCGAGTGAAAAATACATAGTTGTAATGAGCATAACAGATATGCCTAAGCGGGTGCTCACACAGAATCAAATCAGATAATAGATAAGTGACTTTGGAAGCAAGAGCCCTCTCAGATCCTTATGTAGTATGTACAAGAAGCAGAAACTTTTAATTCATTGAATGAATGTAACAGTATGGCTGTTGTGTTCTAGTTTCACCAGATAAAAAGAGATTGGTTCCTACAGTATTAACCTAAAGTTGACTTTATCTAGGCATCATGTTAAGCCTGTCAGTTCTCCAGTTACCTTAACTGCAGATGCATGGTCTTGAAAATCATCAGCAGTTGTGAGATTAGGATAAGACTGGGGTAAGATCCAAGTAAGTGTGAGACACTTGAAATGGTAGTGGAGAGACTGGCAAGGTGTAAACAGAAGGCTTGAGATAAAGGCTACAATTAAAGGTTGTTGCTGTTCTTGCCGGATAATTGAAGGAAAAGCTGACTTAACAATTCCTCTCAGGCTGACTGCTGGATGATTTGGATTTGACTGCTGAACTGAAACCAGAGCCTGGACTAATTGTGGGATTGTGCCTTGGGACTGTTGGGCTAAAACCTGGATTTGTATTGGTTGATATTCTTTGTCTTGCCTACTTTGCAGCTCTTACTTCTCTAGTAAAACCTATTCTTGGTACCACAACTGTGAATAAAGTCTATGAGTCGGCAACGTATAAATTAATCTCTTGATGCTGGTGTGGGTCTCGAGGCACCATGGGGCTGGGCTACAAACGCTTTCTTTACTTTCTTCTTTGGAGTGGTGAGGGGCTGTTCTATTCTTAGTCCCTTTCAGAAAGATACTTAAAGCCCTGTGCCCTGTCCATTTTCTGCTCTCTAAACAGGATTTGGTTTCCTTTTAATGTGTCTTTTTAGCTCTGTTTGCATAACATGGAAATAATTTTTTTTTAATAGGTAAGAAAATAGTTGTTGTTTAATGCCGTCGAGTCGTAGACGACTCATAGCGACCCTATGAACAAACAGCCTGAGCACTGTTCATACATAGAGTTTCCAGAGGCAAGCCATTTTGGAAGTGGATGCCACTTTTATTTATTAATGTATTTATAGACCTTGTGGGAAGGCATTATAAAAAATTATCTTTTAATTATAGTAGAACATAATGCTCCTTTCAAATTGAACTATGTGGAGCTAATGGCTGGGGTGTGCATAAGAAGTGTTTAATAGAATGTGGCATCAGGATTGAAGGCAGATTGATCAGTAACCTTCGGTGTGACTAGGACACAACCTTAATGAAAATGAGGTGGGCTTTAATCTACTCTAGAAGATCAAATACGGCAGCATTCAGTGTAGAATTGCATCCTAATATCAAGAAAATGGAAATAGCACTGGACTGATAGGCTGTTAGCAACTTTATCTTGGCTTGGATCCACAATCAGCATCCTTGGTACAGCAATCAGGAAATCAGAAGGTGTATTATACTGGAAAAAACTGCTGTCACGGACCTTCCAAATTATAGAGGAGCAATGATATCCATTTGAAGACTTAAATAGGTACCTGATTCATCCTTTCCGATCACTTGCTGTGCATCTTCTTTTCAGCTTTGGTATTAAAAAAGAAAAGTACTGAATATCCCACGGACTGCAAAAGAACAAACAGCGATGCTTGGAGAAGATGTGACCAGAATGCTCGTTGGAGGCAAAGATAATAAGCTTTGTCTCACATACTTTGGGCATGTTGCTAGTAGAGGCTGTTCCCTGGCTAAGGGCAGATAAGTAGTAGAGCTTCAAAGACTAGGTGAATTCACACAGTGACTGCAGCAATGGTTATGAGGATGGCATAGAATAGAACAAGGTTCAGTTCTAAACAAGGTTCAGCTCATCAAGTACGACTGATAGTGACCCTATCAGTCGTACTCTGTGACACCTAACAACAGCAGCAGCAGAATATAAGATGGTAAAACTTACGTAGCCTTTTCAAACCTGAAAGCCTAATTAATTGAACACAAACATAGTAGACTGAGAGTATTGAATATGAGAAGTATTGCTGTTTAGTAGAACTAATTTAGCAGGTTTTTATTACAAAGATGTTTTCAAGTAGAAGTTTTCTGTCTTAGTGTCTTCAATACCAAAAATGAAGCAGTTAAGTAGTTTTTATTTTTACTAGCAGGGATTGGTAATTGGACTTGAATAATTTTAAGAAAATTGTATCTTGGGCACTTGATAATGGATCATAGCTTTTAGTACATAATATAAACTAAATTACCTCCTGCATGAAGCAGTCAATTCATTTTACTTATTTTTTCTATTTTAGGTTGTTAAAGGAAATGGGCTGGCAGGAAGATAGTGAAAATGATGAAACATGTGCTCCTTTAACTGAGGATGAAATGAGAGAATTCCAAGTTATTAGTGAACAGGTAATAAAACTCGACTTGTCTAAGTTTTCTTTTAAATTACCTTTTCCTTAACACAACAACATAATAATATTTTTTTTTTACTTAAAAAAGGATTTTGCAGTTTTATTTAGGAATTTAATAGCACACAACATATAGTTAGAATTGCCTTTGTTTCCTGCACTGGTGACTTCTTTAAACCTGTACTGTAAGTTTTCCTCATACTTTATACAGCATTTTGTTTTAGGTTTTTTTTGGAGACAAAGAGGGCAAGTATGACCAGTTTTCTGGATAGCTTAATCTCTAACAAGAATGTTTTATATTCTCCAACAGCATGTTTTATGTCCCTGTTAATTTTTTCTGCAAGAGTTTTAAAAAATGTCTATTAGGAAGATTGGATGTTATCTTCAAATGCATTACAGGAATTTTGTACTTCTGGCCATATAGAATTAATTTTTTTGTAATTCTAGTCATGATTGAACTGATTTTTACATAGAGATGTCAGAATTAATGTTGTGATTTTTTTCACAGTACTTTTTAAGTGTTTGGATTAGAGTTTAAGGCAATTGATTATATACTAACTTCATAATATAAAAGACTTGGTCATATTAAGGTGGTTTGTTGTTGTTGTTTCTTAAATGTCAAAAATGCTTAAAGTATATTCTGTAATTTCAAACCTGTCAGTGGATAATGGTGTTTTGAGGGGGTCATAAAATTGACATTTTAGAAACATACCATTTAACGTGTTTTCTGATAAATGCATATATATGTTGTTTTCATGTGGTATTGACCCTCCATGTGGTTTTCAGAGCCTTTAAACTAGTTGCATGAGAGATGATTGCCCATCTCTCACCAAAGATGCTCATGCCTTTGGGTTTGCAGCACAACTCCTTAGGACTTAACTACCAGAGCTCCTTGGATAATTGTGTAGTTAACCAATGTAAAGGATAGTTACATGATTCTGAAGTTCCTTCATTAACCTTTAAATTCAGTCCTTAAATCCCTAACTCTGCCTCTTCGCAACCACTTAATGTTTCTTTTCCTGTGGATGTTTGTGTAGAATGTTTTATAAAGGATCTATATCGTATACATTAATCTGGAACTAGGCTTAGTTCATTCTTGAGACTCATTTTTCTTTTGACTCTAAAGAAGGGCATCAGGAAAAATTCAGTTAGTGCTGGAGGATTTTTCTCTTGATAAGTAGCTTTCAGATTGATGAATAAATTTATTGATCGTAAACTAGTTAACTGATGCAATGACCATTTTACACATACTGTGGATTGAAGATCATTGTATGGTATAACAATGTTCATGTTTTTGAACTCAAGAGAAAGGCATCGTTTGACAGATTATTTGACTTTTATATGTCTGAAAAATCATTAGGGGACAATGCTGCTTATAAAACAATTTCTATTACAGTTGTTAAGAGAAGAGAAATACAAATTTCTAAATGTAACCATTTAATTGGAGGAGATAGATTCTGATGGAAAGCATTTTGTCAACAGTTCTGGAAATGTTGAAGATGAGAGTGGTCTTATAAATCTAAAAAATGTTTTTTTGTCTGTTATCCCAGAGTGGTTCTAGAGTACAAGAAGGGAAAGAATCTCTCATGTAGTTTAAATTTTAGATATTAATTGTATTTGCTGTAATCTGGTGAAGATTTATTGAGATGTAGGTTTGAATTGACCTTGAATAGGTAAGTTGGGGGTGATGTTCTTGGTACAAGGAATAAACAAAAGAGTATGAATGAAGTTACGCTGTTTTTGCTGGCTGCTGGAGCATATGATGGAATAAAAGGGCACAATAGTAAAAGATGGCATATCAGGCATTGCCAGGGTTGCTGTGAATTGGAGCCAGCACTTACACAACAAAAACAACATCAACAATAATAATAATAACAACATCGTTAGGTCATGATGGAATTGGCTTGTTCTTCAGGTTTAGACTTTGTTCAAATTGTTAATAATCTTCATTGAAGACTATATGAGATATTAAGACAGTTCTAAATACTGCTTTATTAAATAGCAAGATTTAGGAGTGCATTTAGACATTTCTGTGAGAATTACTAGTCTCACATTTTCCATGAAACTGGAAAGTCCAGAGTTTATATAAAGCACATGTATGTTCTCGTGTGTGTGTGTGTGTGTGTGTGTGTGTGTGTGTGTGTGTAGTGGCTTTATAGCATTTATCATATGAGACTGTTACTCTGTCCTCCCCCCTCGATACTAACTGTCCTTTTACCAAGTTGTTACTTATTACTCCTTGTTTTCATTATGTGCTGCTGAGCTGGTTTTGATCAATAATATTTTTGTATGATAGAGTAAAACTGGCCAGTAGGGTTTTGTAGGCTGAAATCTTTATACCCCTGATTTTCTTCTGGTGTGCTAGACCATCCTACCTTTTGGTTTGTGACAGAATATTGTAATTGTTGTGCCACCAGAATTCCTTATTATTGCTACACTAACCCTTTAATTTTGACTTCTTTTCGGAGCTAGAAGGCTTAATTTTTTTTTCCTAGCACTTTAAGCTCTATGGCTAATGAGATGACTGTTTTTGTTATAATACTTTGTATTTCTCATTGTGCATATTCTGTAGAGTTTAATGTGTATTGTGGTTAGAATAAAAATACTTTCATTATAATTTATATGAACTTTTAAAGAATTTTAATTGTTGATATTTAATTAATTTACTTAATGATAAAATTTATTTTAATTAAAATAGTTTATCCATTACTTCATGTTTAGCATTTTGAATTTTATTTATAAAACTTCACATCATAAGGGATTGAATATTCAGAAATGTTCATACTTTAATAAGTGACGGAGTTATGGTTCACACCCAGGTAGACCTGCTTGCCTTAAATATCTCCATTAGAGATGGTAAATGTAGACCTGTCAAAAGAATGATTCTTAAGGACTCCTTACTCAGTTGTATTCATGTAGAATATTCTTAATTTGTATCTCACTTTTACCTGTTTTTTATTTCATTCTGACATTTCAGTTACAGAAGAATGGTCTGAGAAAAAATGGTATTTTGAAAAATGGCCTGATCTGTGACTTCAAGTTTGGACCCTGGAAAAACAGCACTTTCAAACCCACTATTGAGAATGATGACACAGAGACAAGTAGCAGTGACACATCAGATGATGATGATGTGTGAAGAATTTCCTAACAGCTTTAGAAATTTTAGTGTGACACATCTCTCATACTGTTTGGGGTGAATTGTAAAAATGAAGAACTATAATTTATGTAGTAAAATACCCCATTAGAAGATGATTTTTTTGGGGGACTTCAATATGAAGAAAACCAAGAATGTTGTGTTGGGCTGTGTTGAACATTATTTCTTTGTAAATGAATGTTGTAGAAATGAGGACTTTGGTTGATCCAGCATTGACTTTTCTTCATCACTGCAGCATTTCTCTGACTAGCAATGTGACGATGTAACAAATGAGATTTTCTCATTTAATAATAAAAAATTGTGTAATGTTTTGCAAAGCTTCTGTCTTAAAAATGTCCAGATCTTAAGAACAAAAGGCAGCTTACACTGTTTTGCTTGCAGAGTCATATCTTTCACGTACAATGGAACTCCTCAAGTCCACTTTGTGCGCCCCACAACAAGGACAATGTAGCATGTTGGCTAAAACTGGAGCAAAATGCACTAAAACATTAATTTCCTGAATTCAACTGTTATACTAGTCACCTTTTAAAATATAAATTGCTCTTTAGCCATTCATAGTGCAGTAAATGTTAAAGGAAAGACTTGCCACATTTTCTTCCAAATTTAAGAGGTGGTTTTCAAAAGCTTTATTTGAGTATGTTGTCAGACCAGAATGTTCAGAGTTGATGGAAAAGAGTCTTGTGGGAAAACCTATTTTGATAAATTATTACACATGCAGAAAAACTGATCACATTGACTGGATCTGTCCACACATGGAAAATAAACTGGATTTTCAGAATATTGTCTTTCTTTGTAGTGTTCAAAGTATTAGTCTCCAGATACAGCAGTTTGCTAATTTATTGAACCAAGTACACTTTCTTAAAGATGATTTTAGAAAAATAATGTATGGGATACATTAAGCTGCTTTCATAAACTTCTTAAATGTTCATTTTATTTTAGTTTTTAGAATAATTTCCTGGAAAAGTATTTGACTGCTTATTTATATTTTTATATCTCTACCTGACTTGCGTTGCCCTCATCTTGTTTATGTATCTCATAATTGTAAATATAATTTGCAACACACTATGGGGTTTTTATCAGATTATTCTAAAAGTTTATTATTATTTTAATTGTTTTTCATAGAAACCTGCAGTGTTATTGCCATTTCCACAACACGCTGCCCAACTTGCCAGATTTTACCAGGAAATAGATTTTTTTTTTTTTATGGTGGTGGTTGTTAATGAGACCAGTGGTGATAGAGAAATTAAAACCACACTCTTCTACCCCACGAAATGTTAGAGGATAAATTTATGGTAACAAATTTTAACTATATCTTGATGTTTATATGACCTGCTGTACTTTGTTTTATCATCTAAAAGTAAATGTAGGAACAACCACAGAAAATAGACTACTTTGATAAAGAAAGTCTTGTGAGTATCTCAGAGTATTTTGGGGGACTCTGTATTAGTTTGTACTCATTTAATAGAGTAATGAAATCTACCAGTTTATAAACTATTTGTGGAAACGAAGTATGTGCAAAATAAGTACTTAACAAAAGTTTACTTTAAAATACCCTATTCTGTTTTTCAAGTTACTGAGGAATAATGATGTCAGTTTGAAGACTATAGTGCATCTTTAGACTATGGCCAGGCTTTCCAGTTACTTCTGTTAATCTGAGAGCTGGACAGTGAATAAGGATGACAGAGAATTGACACCTTTGAGCTGTGGTGTTGGAAAATAGCACAGAACATCCCATGGATGACCAAGAGAGTGAATAGATAGGTATGTCTTGGAGAGTGTGTGGCCCGAGTGCTCTTTGGAGACAGGAATGATGAGGCTTTGCCTCACATACTTTGGACATGTTGTTAGGAGGCTCTGTTTCTTGGAGAAGGACATGATGTTGGGAAGGGTCTTGAGTCGGTCGGCAAAGGAGAGGAAGACTCTTAGCAAGGTGGATTGACATGGTGACTGCTGCAGTGGGTTCTTGTGTGTCATGGAAGTGTGAGGATGGTCCATGATAGAACAAGGTTGAGATCTGTTCATAGGATCGATATAAGTTGTGCTCAGCATGACAGCACCTAACAACAACCATTAATTTTCTAAACATTGATAAAATATGTTCTTCAGTTTTTATTTCCTGACACCTTCCTATATTCAGATAATTTTTGCAATTTTTGCCTTATTTACTAATTGTTGTGTCATGTAAAACATTCTTTCCCCCCCATTATGGAGTGCATTTGTGTAAAGTATGATCAGTCTGTAAATGATGTCATGAACACGGTCAGGTTCTGAGAGAGTTCAGCCATACTTGCACATGTCATTTAAGATAACTATTAAAATATAATAAACATAATTTTTAATTTCTGTCTGATCATGCTGCAGTATGACCAGTATTGTTTGGAAAGGGTCCACAAGTTACAGAACCAGCTTAAATTGTAGCTCTAGTATGGAATTAATTGGAATGAATAATAGGCCGTAAAAGTTTGAGAAAGTGAGGAATATAATTTGGCTACCTCAAACTCAATTACAGAAAAGTGTGTGGGTGGGTATTTTTGTTTTTACCGGTTGAGGTGTAATTGACCTTCAGTAAACTTTATATAATTTGGTAAGTTTTGACTTACACATCTGTAAAACTGTTGCTGCAGTTAAGATGATTAACATGTCATCCCCCAAAGCTTTCTGGTGCTTCTTTGTAATCCCTCTCGCTTGAAAATAGCACTTTAAAAATTGTATTTTATTTGAGAATATTTTTAGTTTTTATAAATTTTTATTAAAGTTGAAGTAAATACAGAAGTATCAGGTAAGCTGAGTATGTTAAAAGGACTGGTACTTACAAAAATGTTCTTTTATGCTAATATGGTTTCTACTGTTTTAGAATTATACCATGATCATAAATTTTAAATTTAAGAAAAGTTGGTTTTAGGGAAAAAACCACATAATTGCCTAATTTTTCTAATTCTTCCTAGTTGCTTCTGCATCTACTCAAATTATCAGATCTTAGTAGTGTATCCTGGCAAATAAAGATAATTCTAGATTAGGAAAGGCATGTAATCTGATTATTATAGCATCTTATTTTGGATTGTTGCATGCTCCTTGTGCTTTAGATGACTTTTGGGAGTTGAGAGTGTGTTTCAAATAGTAGCAAAAATCTTTACAATCCACCAGTGCAGAGAGATGCTTCAGTAACTGCTGCTCAGTATTAATAATCTTGCCTGGGTCCTAAAAAGCAAGGTGTAGCAGAAGAGCTATGATTTTAAGAATAAATACCTTCATTGTGGAATTCTACTCTTAAAGGTTTGGAAAAGTTTGTAGGTCAGTTTTGTGACAATGTATGACTAGCAGTTACCCTGTTAAAACCGAAGTATTTTAATTGTGCAGTGTTCTTACTATAGTTTGTTAGTTCCTTTGTGATAATATAACTTAACCTGTAAATTTAGTTTGTTCTGTAGAAATCTAATGTAGAAGAAATCTCCAAATATTTACAAGTTAGGGAAGACAACACACCTATGGTGAAAAATGAGCCATCTGAATAGTATGCAACTTGTCTTAAACTGTGGAGTATATTCCTCCAAAGGTTTCTATATGACCATAGTTTCCTAATAGGTCTATTAAAGTTTTCTGGTATATACTGTACGTTTAATCACAATATTATGTAAGTTTGTGCACACAGGAAATAATCTCTCACCACAATTTATGAGGCACAAATGTTTTTGGCGTGGTGGAGCTCAGAATTTCTCTAAGACCCTTAGTCTGAACTTAATACATATTTTAAAGGAAATCTAATGTGGCACATTGGTGAAAAGTGAGATTGTGTTTAATTTCTAGGTCTTTTTAGGACACTGCTTTGGCATATTCAGTGCAGCAGTATTCTAACTTGGCAATATGTCAGAGCACACAATTTAACAGTTGGCAAACCACTGAGCAACTTCATTACCTGGATGGGCGGATAGTGTGGACAGATGTTGTTATGTGCCATCAAGTTGCCTAAAACTCAAAGCAACCTTGTGTACAACAGGTCTAAACCCTGCTTTGTCCTGTACCAATCTACTGTCTTGACACATCTATCCCCATCACCCCAGTTACTGAATCAATCCACCTCATTGAGGGTCTTCCTCTCTCACATTGTTTCTTCATCCTCCCAAGCATGACATCCCTCTCCAAGGACTGGTCCCTCCTTTACTACGTGTTCAAAATATGTCAGATGAAGCTTCTGAAACCTTGCCTCCAAGAAGCAGCCTGGATTAACTTGAGGACAGATTAACTTCCAGGACAAACCTGTTTGTTTTCCTAGCAGTCATGGTATATTCAGTACTCTTCTCTAATGCCACATTTCAGCGGCATCAATTCTATTATCCTTACTCATTGTGTGGACAGCAGAATAAAATCCACAGGTGTTTTAATGTCTCCTCACTCACCCCTCAAAACTGAACCCATACCCATTGCAGCCCTGACTCATGGCAGCACTCCCATTGGTTTTCCAAGGTTAGTCTTTGGAGGAGGAAGCTGCCTATTTGTCTTAGTTGAACTCTTTAACTACTACCTAGCACTTTTGATGTCTTGCATACCACAGCATCAAGGTTGGACATGGTCATAATCTGGGTTTGCAATAATAACCCTATTCATTATCATGAATACTGGCATTGAACGAGGCCACTGTTGGTCATTTGCATATCTTTGGAGAATTGGCCTTACTGTAAGTTACTTGTCCATTTTAAAAGTTGGGAGTGTTTTCTTTCTCTTGTGTCTTCTTCTTGTTGTCTTGTGTCATAGGTTTTTAAAAATAATTAAACTCATGTCATGATTCACAACTGTTCCCCATCCTTTTAAATATACATTTTTCTAGTTCTTTTTTTTTATTTAAAATTTTATTTATTTTTTTTAATGTTGATGAAGACCAATTTGTTGATTTTGTGTTTTGTTGCCTGTGGCTTCATAGCAAAGAAGTCATTGCTAAAACATGATCCTGGAGATTTACCACCATGATTTTGCCTACAATTTAGGATTTTTGTTCTACTATTTACAACTATTTGCATTAAATGTCAAACATTGTACAGTATTTGAGTTCAACATGTTTTGTTTTTGGTTTTTTTTTTTTTTTTTTTGGTGGAAATCCATTTTCCCAGTATCATTTCTTAAGACACTATTGAAGGAACTTGACACCATTGTTGAAAATCAATTTGCCATAAAGATATAGTCATTTCATTGAGTGAAGTGACTGATCTGACGATATACTTTGGTATGTAGGTGGCTGAGCCTCTGCTTTCAGGTCTCTTAGGTATATATCTAGAAATGAGCAGTCGAGTCAGAACCGACCCACAGCTGTGACACT